TAGGTTTATGTCTAGGTGCAAGAACGTACAGGTTTTTGGATAGCTGCAAAATCCATCAGTGCCCTTTATGTTTTGTGGAAAAGACCCTGGGAGGTGGAGAGAAGTTTCATTACACTTACAGATATTTTCAGAAGACTGACTGCTACTTCCCACAGAAACTGTTCCCCCATAATGGCATTTATTTCTTCTGGTTAAATCCTGATCTGAAGTGCTTTCTGTTTACAGGTTCTCTCATAGACAAGAAAGGGAAAATCCTCATTCCAGGCATTAATGAAGCAGTGGCATCTGTTACTGATGAGGAGCTGGCCATTTATGAGAAAATTGATTTTGACCTAGAAGAATATGCGAAAGATGTAGGAGCAACAAAACTATTGCATGATACAAAGGTATACTGTACTCCTGCATGCCCTGGTTAGCTTGTAAGTTCAGACAAACTGTATAGCTAATTGCATACTTAATACTATCAGTTCCTCTACAAAGTGTGCACTTGGAAACTTTGTCTAGGTTATCCTGTATTTAAAGCAAGCAGTCTAGGCAATATGAAAGCTGCTCCTAAGTTGTTCCTTACTCACGTGTAAATAGCATTTCAAACTTGTATGGAACTTTCCTATCTAATGCTGTCCTCTTAAAGCTAGATAAGAACAGTTAGCACAAGAGAAATGTTTCCTGGAGTCAAATGCTATGTCTGCACTAAGCATCTGACTTAATGAATCTTTGTAGAAAGTTCAGTGGGTTATCTGAAACTGAGTTTCTTATGTAGTTGAATCTTCTCATTAGGTAAGAAAACAGTTTAACTGTGATCTTAAGGTTGACATGCAGAACATCTTCCTAGTCTTAGCAAGCAAGGACCTTTCTGTCGGCTGCTGAAATCTTTGGCCAGGCTCAAGTTCAGTATATGCACGTCTTTTGTTTCTCAAATCTTCATCCCATGAGTTCTCTAAATGAATGCCAGAAAATACAAGGTACAAGTAGTGTATACTAATGTTTAAAATCTGAGCTATAGATGTAAATCTATCATAACATGCTGAAGGAAGTGTTGTAAAAGACAAGTTTACACATGCAGGTCTGTCTTTTCTCCTGGTAGTATCAGGAGAGGACTTCAGACTGAACTGAAGTAGCTGTAAGTAACAATTTTATATGCTCGGTGTTGTTTCTACATGCAGGAGTTTATACCAACTGAGAGCACACAGACTTTATTGTTTAGTCTTTCTCTATAAAGTAATGGATGAAATATAACTTGTATATAAGGAGTTGGCATGGTGCCCTTCACTTAAGGTACTAAAACTGTTCTGTCTTAGCTAGACTGAAATCCTGGTGTAATTCATGGAGAGAATTCAAAGTTAATGTGCGCAAGGAATGTTTTGAGGCTAAAGGGAGATGAGAAGGCTTGTAAATCTCCAGGTGAGGAACTGCATGCTCGAAAGTTTTGGGAAGTGATAGTTCTGCTCAAGAATAGAGGCAGGCTGTACCTGGCACAAAACAAATTTGGCATTAAAGCCCACAAAATTAAGTCTCCCTAACCTCTGCAGTGTAATTCAGCTTTGAGTTACTGTAGTTGTCTGCCCAGGACACAAATGTGTTGAATTCACAGTGTCCAGTGTACTGAACTGTGTCCAAGGCAACAAGGAGGAAATGTGTATCTGAAATGGCCTTGTGATAGTAGGTAGTAGTGCTCATGTCAGTGACCTTGGAGTTCAGTCAGTTTAATACAGCTGGTACTGTCAACAGCTAAAGGAGGAGCATGCTGTGTGCCTCAGTTGGCAGCAGTGAGGCTTTTATGAAGTTTCTGATCTTTGTTAGTGTGTGACTCAGTATTGAAGACGTGCCTGACTTAATGCTGTGGGGACCAGAACTTAGTGTGCTTCTTATCGTGCTTGAGCATCTTTATAAATGTATTTGTATTCTTTTCAGAAGCAGAATGGGCATGTCCAGTAAGTTCTGCAGAACTAGGTGAAAGCCAAACTAGAGTTACTGAAAAATCTCTGTAGTTGCTGAAAGCCAGCTCTTCTATTTAAATGTGCTCTATAGAATTGTTGGTTTCTGTTTGCAATTGAGTGGTCTTGGTTGAGGTGCACTTCTCCATGTCAGAGAGCAAAGCACTGTTCTTTGCAAGTCTTTAATAGAGCTCCCCCAAGTCAATCTCATCATCTGTCAAAACTTGATGTGACCTTACATTAATTCCTTTGCTTCTACAGAGAGATATCCTTATGCATAGATGGAGATATCCTTCCTTGTCTCTCCATGGAATTGAAGGAGCCTTCTCAGCCTCTGGTGCCAAGACTGTGATTCCTAGGAAAGTGATTGGCAAGTTCTCAATCAGACTTGTGCCAAACATGACTCCTGAAGAGGTCACCAACCATGTATGTTGAGATGGATTAATGATCTCTAAAAGCCTCTCAGCTTCTTTTCTCCGTATCTGGGAGGAAAAATGTTTGTGGTTTCTGAAACAGTTCTGTTTTCTGTGCTACAGTCTTCCCTGTCTGCCCCTCAGCTCAGGTATTTGAGGGAATGAGTGTAGTACCACACTGAACTGTTGTGGCCTTGGTCTCTGCTTTCTCTCAGCTAACTTGAAGATGCAGCTGAGAACTGAATGCTGATTGAACTGTGGGGCACTTGACCTACCACAAGGGTCTATTCAAAAGTGTAAGAGTTTAGCATAGTGACTGTTTTACAGTAGTGCTTTTACTTGCCTGATGGAGATATTCTGACTGCAGAATTACATAGTAATATGAGATTATAGTAATATGAAAGCTATTGCTGCATGCAGTTGTGACCTGCGAGTCTCCAGGATGCTTTTAGTATACTGTCTTCACCAGTGTTCATACATGTAACAGTAAAATAAGGATACTTGATTTTTTTTTTTTTTTTTCCTATAGGTTAAAGATTACCTGAGCAAACAGTTTGCGAAGCTGCAGAGCCCTAACAAATTCAAGGTATACTTAGGCCATGGTGGAAAACCCTGGGTGTCAGACTTTGATCATCCGCACTACATGGCTGGCAGAAGGGCCATGAAGACAGGTCAGTGGGTTTTCCACTTGTATTGGGAAGTATTCTTGTTCCAGCACCTCAAGAAATACTGTGGAGGTCATGTTTGTGGAATATTTGTGGTGTCTTACTTGGGTGATACATTTGACTTGCTGAGTAAGAAAGCATCTCATGTGCCATCCTTAATTTTGAAGTACAGGATGGAGGAAAAGTTACTATCAAGCTCATTCCAATACATGGAACAAGTCTGGCATGGTGTTGCTCTTAGATAAGGATGCAAATGTCAGTAGTTCAGACAATTTACATTATCAAAGCCCTCAAAGCTTATGCATTCTGGCATCCTTAGCTGTAGGTAGGATAACAAGGGCAAATCTGATTTCTGTTGAAGTTCATAAACCATATGAAATTGGCAGTACTCCAGCACTATATCTGGGGTGGAACTCCACAGTTCTGTTACTTTTGCAGCCTATCAGAGAAGCTTTAGAAAAGGTACAATTTCAAACTGACTAGAGTATCACTTTGTTCTAGTTTTTGGAGTTGAACCAGACCTGACAAGGGAGGGAGGAAGCATTCCTGTTACCCTCACTTTCCAAGAAGCAACAGGCAAGAATGTCATGCTGCTTCCTGTTGGAGCTGCAGATGATGGTGCCCACTCTCAAAATGAGAAACTGAATAGGTAAGAATATTTATCCCTGTGCCAGACTGAGTTGTGCCTGTGGGTCTTTTTGTGTATAATGAAAATAACTAAGGCAAATCAAGTGCTTCAAGTGTTAGGAAGACATCCTTAGTGGAGGATGGCTGAGTGGGTGGTTGTGCTAACTGGTCTGTAGCTGAATTGTTAAGTCCTTACTGCTTCTGGCTGTGCATGCTTGCAACAAGTAACTTCTCATAGTTCAGCCCAGGGCTGGGCTGCTCTGTCTTACCTCATGGGTGACATTTCTGTCTTGCCAAGGGAAATGCAAGCAGGTTGGGAATAGTCTGTTTCCTGCCACAGTTTTGCTTGTAGCATCTGTTGTTGACAGAGGGCTAATGCTGCAGCATGCACAACTGCTAGGAAAGCAGCTCAAACTACAGTAGTGCTGATGGAAGCTGTCTTTACAGGTACAACTACATTCAGGGAGTGAAGATGCTTGGTGCATACCTCTATGAAGTTTCACAACTGAAGAACTAAGACATCTTACCTTCTGGCTTGTGATTCAGAAGTCTGACTTTTCTTAGGAAACAGCATCTATTAATTCTTACATGGCTCCCCTTTTCCACCAACACTCCACAACTTTGGAGAAGAGGGGAGCATGCCGTTCTACTTAAGAAACAAACATTGTAAACAAAAAATCTTCAAATGCTTCAAATGACAGACTATTTCCTATTTGTCCAGTAGTCCTGAAAGGCATCTTTCTTCTCTGCATCACTTCAAAGTTCTGGCTTGCTATACTCATCTACTTTTCCTGTAATGCAGGAGGAACTGGGTGCTCTCAACTGTTTCAGCAGCCACATTAGCTGCAGAACTGTTGGCCAGGTTTAAGGTACTTTTTCCAAGACTTTGAAGATATATGTTCTGGAAGTAGTCACAGTGACAGATTAGGGGCTATACTGGAGTGTGCTCAAGCTGTAGCATGGCATCTGTCTTCCTAAAGGATTTGGAAGAGTAGTTTGTCTTACGGTTTATACCTGCCTGCAGGTTTCAATTCTCACTGCAGTAGGTTGTAACAAAATTCACTGTGATAATGACTACTGGTCATCTTTGTAAAGCTGCCTTTGTACTCCCTAAAAAGGACAATAAATAATCATGCTCTAGTATTTGGCTCTGTTTCTGAGGATAAAGTTATGACTTGGGAGGAACGTTTCTGTGACTATTGAGGCAGATGGATACAGACTGTACTTGCTGGGAGACAATTTTATTGCTGAGTACTTTTAAGTTCTATAGCAGCTAGCTGATGTGAAGCTCATGTTGCAGAATCTTACCCATCTGAGAGAAAACGGGATGTTTCTTTTTGGCTCTATGAGCCAGGACATTGCACTCACACAAGTGATAGTGAAAGTGAGTGGGTGAAATCTATAAGCAGATTTGGGAGAGAAGCATCACTCATTACAATTACTGACACTGGGCTTCAAAGTATCTTTTGGAAACACTCAGTTCCAGCACTTTCTGAAGTTAAGTTTAAAAAAAAAAAAAATCTCTTAAGGGTTTGCTAATCTGAATTGGATTTGACTCACTGTTTCTGACCTCCTAGACAAGCATTAGCAGGTTAAGATAGGCAAATATTTTAAGTAATGATGCTTTGCTCTGAGAAGTGCCTGAGAGTATGGTGCATTCCTACAAGTCCTGTATAGTGATGAGTAAAGTAGCATCTGCTGCATCTGTAGGGAACTACAGTAAGTAGTAATGCCCTATGTCTGATTTTTACTGTTGCTGGCGATCTGGAGTCTTTACTGTGAAAGACTATTGAGGCAGGAAGGAGGCTTCTGTTCTCACTATACATCTTTTAGAGCTTCTCTGTCTGCCCCTTTTTTTTTTTTTTTTTAAATGGAAGTTTAAACATTGCACTTGTACTTGCAGCTGGGGTACAGGCTGAGACCTGCATCATATGGCCATTTTGGTACTTGCAAGTACCAAGCTTCTCTAGTAACATGAGGTTCTCACCTCCCAGTGATGCTGAAATCTGGTATGTGCAAGATGGCACGTGTAAGTATTCAGGGGTCATCTGTATGTGGAGACCAACTGGTTATATAGGACAACATGTCCAAGCAATCAGTATGTTTAAAGCAGCTTCCCTAGTTACTGAGTTGATGGCTCATACTTCTTTAAATAGAGTGACTGTCTGAAAAGGGTTAGGGTGAGTTTATATTGCTTTTCTACCTATTAATTTGAGAAGTATAAAAACTTCTAAAATCCACTTCATGGACTGAGGGTAATGAGTTTCTCACAGTGTGTAAAGGAACTTACTTAAATGGTCAGAAAACTGATAATATCATGAACTATGTTCAGAAAGCATGTTTATAGTTGTCATTTCTAACTGTTGTATTGAGAATCAGTCAATTGACTCAAGTTCTGCACTAAAGATTCTGCTTAAGGTCCTACACTTCCTGAATAATCATGGTATGGCAGAGCAGTGAAAATTGTCCAAAACAGCATTAGGTATGTTAAGGAATTTCTGGAAGAGGCTTGGAAACAGATTCTATTGGACAGACTGCAGGAATATTCCAGCATGGGGTGAGTGTCAAGCCCTGTGGGGAAAAAAACTTAGAATAAGATTTTGTCCCTAAGCAAAATGAGCACTGAAGTGTAAGTTGCTAAAGTAATAGGGCCTTTATAAAACTAAATGGACTTTTGTATGGGAACTGCTGAATCATGGCCTGAACCTCTGATTGACCACCTAAGGCAAACAATGAGTCAGCACTGGGAATGCAGGTGAAAGCAATTCACCTGTGCTACTGGAAGGGGTGGAGCCTGGCTCTACCTCTCCTAGACCCCATTTAAGAGCTGACTACCACTGGGAAAGGATATCTTTTGGAGATCACTCCTCTTGGAGCATACTCAGCAAGCCCAGGGCAAGGGTAAGCTTTCCATCCATTCTTCTTTAGTGTGATAATCTGTGTAGCCTAACTTCCTTGTATATTTCTTAATTTTAACATTTCATTGATTGTATATTCATTGATTATACAATGTTGCAGCTGTTAAGTTGTATAACTTTAGAATTAGAAATCAGTATTACTGCATAGTAGTGTATATTTGCATAGTAGCAAAGCTTTCTTTAGGTGTCACTGCCAAAGGCAATAACAAAAATGGTAATACTTGACTGGAATGAACACTGCAGGCAGAAAGGACTATGATACCAGCTTCTGCTGTTTGCCTTCTTCAGAACTGCCTTCTTGAAGGCTTCCAGGAAACTAATACCCTTTGCAGAGAACTGGTCTGTGACATCTTTGACTCTTTTGCATTGTACGGGGGTTTACTTAAATTCTCAGTAGCTGATGTTGTTTGAAAAGCAGCACTCAGAATGTGGAAGCTGGACATTACATGGGTTGTGAAACAGTTAAACATGGGGGAAAAAAAACTTCAGTGAAGTATGGGAGATCATAGCACCATCTGCTGGATGCATGAGTGATGTTTTCCCTGCGAAACTTTGTATTGTTGCTTTTTTTTCCCTGTTTACTGAAAGGTTGATCAATTCCAGTTAATATATAACATGAACGCAGGTATAAATATATGCTCATTAAAAGGCTTCTAGATGAGCTGACTTGGCTGTCCAGACCAGTCTTTGTTTAGTGAAGGTACTACAGAAGAACAGGACTGTGAGTGTTGGATAGCTTTGTAGCCACTGGGCATTTTACTGTGCTGAATAATTCCAATGTGATGTTAAGTACTGGAAAAATATTCTTGCTGATTGTGCAGTTTTACTCATCTCTTTGCCTACAGTCACCATTTCCGTGGGGCAGATTTACACAGGAACAACTTTACAGAGGTGCAGGGCTGCAGTCTCCAATTTATCTGAGCAGAGAATATTAATACCAGCTCTCTATTTACAGGAAAACAAAGGTAAGGCTGTAAAAAGGAAGGGTGTTATGCTCTTCTCTTATCTGTCTGATTCTTGGCTGGGCCTACAAGGGCTACCAATGTATGCATGCTTGGCTCGTTTACTGCTTGCTCTTGTTTGGCACCCATGTTTTGTTCATCTGATATTTAGCTGTTATGGCTGAACAAGGCAGGAGCTCAACTCATTGCCTGCTGACCCAATGGTACATGTCCTTAAATTGTTGGGATTTTCTATGAACTTCTGCTTAGCCAAACTAGCTTCACCATGGTCTGGGGGGATCACCAGAAAGAGATCCTTCCCCAGCAGCAGTCAGCCTTTAAATGGGGTCTAAGAGAGGTGCAGCCAGGCTCCACTCCTGGACGCACAGCTGAATTGCCTTCACCTGTGCTCTCATGGCTGACCAGGTCCTTTCCCCAGGTGCTCAGTAAGTTGGTTCAGGCTGTGATTTAACACTTCCCATACACTTGGAAAGCACAGGCTTTGGTTTAACAATGAGTTTACATGGAGCAAATAAATTAAAACATTTTTCCGTAAGTTTATTCTATAGACCACTTTCAAAAACATTGTGATCTTGACCTGGAAGCAATGTGAAGTAGAAGTAACACAGCTGACCTAGATAAAGAATGCAAGTTTGTTCACTTTGTTAAGGTATTAGCTTAAAAATATTACTTTTTTAAAATTTTTATCTCAATTTGTTCGATTAAGATAGAGTTGATCAAGGTGTTCAAGATGCTTTTATGCATCAGGAGTCAGTCTGATTCAATGTCCTCATAATTCACAAATTACGCAGAGGATTTAGATCACTCTGAAGGATCTGCTTGGACTGCTCAGAAAAGCTTAGTGGTGGGTGGTTCTGACTGCAGTCCCTTGCTATCTTACTCATACCACTCCATTTTGTGATGCTAGGTTCTGACAAACCCTGTATGGTAAGGCATGTTTTTTTAATATTTTAAATATTCATTATTCTATTAATTTTGCATATCCTGAGAGATTCTGAGATTTCTTGAACTGCTTAAAATGCATGCCAATGGAATGTGCCAGCTGATGCTGACATGTTGGTACATGGTGGCCTCATTCTATCTGGGCAGGCTTGTGTTCTTCTCAATCATGGGGACAACCCTCAGAGTTCTTATGTTTCATCCCTTCTGAACAATGAGGCAACAAACACAACTAAACAGCTGCTTTTGTCATCCTTACTGTGCGGTGCGTTTGACTCGTGAGACCTGTTGATCCCCCAGGGTATCATCACAGAAAGAGGAAGTAAATTCCTTTATGAGTAACTACATAATCTATATAAACTTTATAATCTATATAAACTTTAACTATATAACCTATATAGTTATAGCCGATTGCAGCAAATTTGACCAATGGCAAAAAAAGAAAGTGTCAAATACATTATCAGTTTCAAATAACATTCAGTTATTAGGAAGATACTTAAGGAAGTATTTGTGCAGAGACACCTCCGTGTTCTCGTGTGAATGTGTGTTCTGCAGTGGTCAATTGGAACTCACTGATGTGCACAGGATGACCAGCTTTGGTAATGTCTGAGTCCACAAGCAATGTGTATGAATAGTATTTGAGGAAGAAGCCTTTGAAGGCTGCTGATTCTGTCTACAAATAAATAAAACCACTAAATGTCAAGATAAAGCAGCATCTTTAGATGACTGTTTCATTGTTCTCTTGGATAGTGAGTAAATAGAAGAAGAAATCTGATCTCTTTACTGTACAAAATTATAGCCAGTTCCTGAGATTCAAGATATATAAGGGAATTAAATTTCATGTTAAGAACTAATTAAAAGACAGAATAATTAAAAAAAAAAAAAACACATAATAATTAGGGAGTGCTAGATTTACTTAGTTTTAAATTGATAGGAAATGATGCTGTATTACATTGCCTACTCTGTGAAAGTGTTCCTGTATGACATGACAGGTGATTCAGTCATCAAGTGAAAATATTAATATTTAAGATGATTCATCTCATTTTCTTAATGCCTTGTAGTTCCACAACCATCTACATACAAATACAGCAGAGTTAGCAGGATGCTGCTGTCACCTTGAAGCAAGTGCTCACTAACAGCTGATTAGCATTGTGCTCCAAAGGTAAAACAGGTTCAGCTACTCTGCCCTCATTAGGAAGAGTGGAGAGAGCTGCAGCAATAAGAACTCCTCCAACTCCTTCCTGTAATTTGATTAACATGGAAGAGCTTTAATGGCATAAAGGAACACGGTTTAGTGGGAAAATATTGGAGTTAGGCAGGTGGTTGGATTGGATGATCTTGGAGGTCTTTCCAACCTTGGTGAGCCTATGATTCTATGATCTCTGCCATTAAGAGACCTTAATGGCAGAGAAGAAAGATTCTGAAAATAAATGCACTTAACGTTAACGTTAAAACAAAATGAATCTGAAATAAGAACTTGATATTTGTTCAGTAGCAAGGGGTCTGCAATGGGGCAGTCTTTTCTTCCATATAAATTAATAGACACCAATGCAGTAGGGAGGCTAATATATCCAGAAATATGCAGGATTCTGAGAGAGGATTGGGTACTTCAGGTAAGGCAGCTATTCTGGCAAGCAATGCATCAATTCACAAGCTTGGTCTGTCAGTTATTTTCTCAGATTCACCAATCTTCTGAGAATTGTCAAGATTGGCATGGGAAAAACTTGCATCTTAGTATTAACAGGAAATGCACCAAATGCAAAGCAACACACCCTGTAAACCCCTTCCTTCAGGTCTTAAAGTGGCGCATATTAGCTGGAAAACATCCATTTATCTCTCAGTTTAAAGATGAAAAATTCTGTTTTCATGGTACTCTGAATTTGAGAGCTTGATCCCCCTAAATCTGTTACCCAGTTTAGGGTCCAATTACCAGTCACAGGGATGAATGAAATATCCAGATAAAATGACACTGTGCTGAGATAATTCAAAAGGAATCAGCCACACTACTTCAAGCTGACATTATTTTTTATGCTATAAATGTGACTCCTTGAAAATTAGCTGTTTATGGGGAAAATGTGTTCTTTCTTCTCTCTTGCAGGCTTCGTATGAAGCCTCAGCAAAGTGCGATATCTAACATCTCTGTAGAGTATTTCCTTCCTAGCTAAGAAGGAGCAAGTTTAGGTAGATAACAGGTGTGTTTACCTGTTGCTGTAGACACTGCATGCTTCTGAAGAATCTGAGACATCCATGGTGCCGTTGCATTCAGCTGAAGTCATTCATGTAAGATACCAAAGGGAGAGTTTTGACTTTGTATCCTTATGCCCGCTATGCTTCCAAGCTAGACTCTTCTAGATGAATTCTTTTTGTATTTACTGTGTTGGGAATAGAGACATATCCTGCCTCTAGCAACACTTTTAACAGTAAGTTTTCTTTTGCCCCAACAGTATATGATCAGATAGATGAAAGCAGGCCTATGGCAAGTTGGGAAACTAAATACCGTTATTATGAATATATTTTTTCTTCTCTAAATGTGATGGGAAAACTGAGTGCATCTTATTATGACATTATTTTCTGTTTTTGATTGCTTGCCATAAATTATCTGCAAAATTTGTACTGCAAAATTGTGCTTCTCAGGTTCCGATGCGGAAATCCACCTGTTCAGCTGGTTTCCCATAGGTGTAAGCAGGAAAAAATGTAATCCTAATCTGTACAGAACTAAGGGAGGGAGATGCCCTGGGAATGTGAGGGGCATGTGAGGAAAAAGTGTTCTGGTTTCTGTGTGTGTGGTTTTTTTTTTTTTTTTTTTTTTTTTTTTTAATTCAGGACACTGACCTGGGGCATGAAAATTCATACATTTGCTCATCAAAAGGTTTCTTTGTGTTCTGATAAAGGGGCATGACAAAGGACATGGGTGTTGTATTTTTCCCATGTAGAAAGAACAATAATGGCATCTCTGTATTTTCAGTGCTTTGTTATGGAAGTTTCTATGTAGTTTCATGTAATGGATTAAGGTAAAGGATCTTCACCTGTGCCATTCACTGTGTCAGTCCCAGTGTGCAGCAAATAATCAAAGAATCATGGTGTTGTGCAAATGGATGGAAAAAAAGGAGGAGCTGCAGTCACCACAAGGCCTCCCTCAGTTGCCTCTGCTCTGGGCTGAAGCAACCCAGGGACCTTAGCTGCTCCTCACACTTTGTCTTCTGGACTCTTTGCTATCTTTGTATGCCTCCTTTGGATGCTCTCTCATAGTTTCATGTCCTTCTTATATTGTGGCACCCGAACTTGCATGTGGTACTCAACATGTGGCTGCACAGAGCAATGCAACCCCTTCCCTTGCTTGGTGGCAGTGCTGGGCCTGATGCACCCCAATGTATGGTTGGCCCTTTTGGCTGCGTAACATCATCCTTGTGGCAGAAAGTAATTTTCCTCTTTTCACTGGATGTGTTTTGATATTTTTTGTTTCTGTCTCTCAAAGGCATCCTTGCAGTTGGTCACACAATTCCTTTCAGTTTCCTAATTTTTAGGATTAAGAACAATCTGCTGAAGGCAGGGGAAGGAAAGCCAGAGTCCTGCAGGGGTCTGGCTGCTGATCAGTTGGGTGGGATCACACACAGAAAAAATGCTTCAGAAAAAGCAGAAAAGCAAAGCCAATGATGTTACTCATTTTGAGTGCAAGAGTCTTGTCAGCTGTGGGATCTATAATTAAGATGTGATTTTCTTCCCTCTGAAGTGCACTGAATGGATACCAACTTTATGCATCTTCATGAATTACATCAAATATTTCAACAAAAATTCTGGAACTTGTATGAGGATTTAAGCATTTGGAATGTAGGATTAATGACTTATATCCAAAACTGTCATTCACTTAGAGGCTATGAGCTATGAAAACATCACTTCTAAATGTTTGGATGCCTATAGTACAAAAAAATGTAAAGCCATTGCTGTTTTTCAAGCCATGTCAAGGCATGTGCTGCACTTCTCTTGGAAGGCCTTTGAACATATGGGAAATCTTTCCTCTGCTCAGAAAGGCTGTCACAAAGGGGGACAGATTGCTTATTTGTAGG